TGTAAAAGTTGGTAAAAATCTTCTATCTCCTCTTCCTTGGCTCTGGTTGTTGGTGCATATATTTGAATGATAGTGGTATTCACTGGACTTCATGGAACGCATAAATATTGACATACTAGGCATTGGTGAGATGAGATGGACTGGTCCAAGCATAGGTTTGACATAAGTACAATCAAGTATTCTGGGATTCTCATTCTTCTCAGAGTCAGCCAGTTTCTTATGATCCACACAGTCAAATGGCTTTGCATAGTCAATGAAACACAGATAGACATTTCTCTGATTCTCTCTGCTTTCAACCAAGATCCATCTAACATTAATTATAATATTTCTAGTACCACTGCCTCTTCTTAACCCAGCCTGCACTTCAGGCAGTCCTCTGCTAATGTGCTGTTCCAGTCAGTTTTGTATAATTTTCAGCAGAATCTTGTTTGCATGTGATACTGTTCGATAATTTCCACACTATGTTGGATCACCTTTCTTTGGAATGGGAACAAATATGGATCTCTTTCAGTCAGTTGGCCAAGTGGTTGTCCTGGTGGCCTAATGGCAAGAAACTATGCTGCAATCTCAAAGGTACATGGTTTGAGGCCACCAGCTGCTCCACAGAAGAATGGGCAATCTTCTGTGCTATTAACTGCCCCTCAAAACCGACCAGACGGTCAGCTATGGGTCAGTTCCCACTTGATGGTATACAACAACAACACCAGATCACTATTTTGTAAGCATTAGCTTTATTATTACTGGGAACAATGTAGAGAGTTTAGGACTTACACTTAGGGTGATTTGTCTCTTTGTCATATCTGTGACATGTGACCTTGAACAAGGAATTTGTCTTACAGAGCTTCTGACCTAGAAAACCTGAGGAGTAGGCCTCTGTGCCTGGGCCAGCCCTTCACCCTGACCTTGAACCTCCAAGCTCTGTCACTGCTTCTGTCCTCATAAGGGAAATTGGAGCTAAATCCAATCTGGGTGCTCTTGGAATAAGTCCTTTCTTGGTCTCAACCTCCTTTACATTCCAAAGCAAGCAAGAAAGCAAACAAACAAAAAATTTGCTTTTGATTCTGACTCAAGGTGACTTTTTGTGTACAAAATAGCACTGGTTAGGGGAGCTCTGGTGGCCTAGTGGCAAGAAGCTGCAATGCAATCCCAGAGGAACACGGTTCGAGTCCACCAGATGCTCTGCCGGAGAAGGAGGCGCAATATCTTCCTGTACCAGTCAGATCTGATTTGACGGTACACTCACACAAAAATAATAAAATTGTTTTTAAAAAAGCACTGGTTGTTGTCGTTGTTGTTGTTGTTGTTGTTAGGTGCCCCTCAAGTTAATTATGAGTCATAGAGACCCTATGAACAAAAGACTTGAAAGCAGTCCTGTCCTGCACCATCCTCACATTGCCCGACATATTGCAGCAGTCACTTTTGTCAAATCCACCTGGTTGAAAGTCTTTCTCTCCTTTGCATACCCTCTACCCTTCCCAACATCTTGTCTTTTCCAACGAACAGTCCCTCCTAGCAACATGCCCAAAGTATGTGAACCAAAGCCTCATCATTCTTGCCTCCAAAAAGCACTCCAGCTGTACCTTCTCCAAGACATATCTGTTCGTTCTCTTGGCCAGCCATGGAATGTTCAGTGCTCTTCTCCAACACCACAGCTCAAAGGCGTCAATTCTTTTTCTGTCATCCTTATTCATTGTCCAGCTCTCAGGTACATAACAAACAATCAGAAAGACCATGGCCTGAATCAGATGCATCTTAGTCCTCAAACTGACATCATTACTCCTCAATAATTTGGAAAGATCCCCAGTTACAGATTTTCCCAATGCAATGCATCTCCTTATTTCCTGACTGCTGGTACCAAGGGTGTTAATTGTGGATCCAAGCAAGTTGAAGCTGTTGACAGTTTCAATCTCCTCTCCATCCATCATGATGTTTTCTATTAGTCCAGTGGTAAGAATCTTTGTTTTCTTGACATTGACATGCAATCCATACCGAAGGCTGCATTCCTTGATCTTCTGCAACAAGTGCTTCAAGTCTAACTCACTTACAGCAAGTAAGGTTATGTCATCTGCATAACGCGGGTCATTACAAAACCTTACAAAAGGTCAGGGACCTCTGGTGGCCTAATGGCAAGAAGCTGCACTGCAGTCCCAGAGGTACGCAGTTCAAATCCACCAGATGTTCTGCTGGAGAAGGAGAGGCAATCTCCTCTTGTACCTGTCAGATCCAAGTTGATGGTAGACACACAAAAAATAATAAAATAAATGTGTAAAAAATTATATCTTCTGCTCCTCCTCAATCAGATTTCCCTCTCTTCTTGTGCAGCCTCAACCACATCCCTGAGAGCCCATGGTGAAGGTCGGAGTAAGCAGATTTGGCCACATTGGACACCTGGTCACCAGGGCTGCTTTTCACTCTGGCAAAGTGGATGTTGTCGCCATCAATGATCCCTTCATTGACCTCAACTACATGGTCTATATGTTCCAATATGATTCCACCCATGGCAAGTTCAATGGCACTGTCAAGGCTGAGAATGGGAAGCTGGTCATCAATGGGAAAGCCATCACTATCTTCCAGGAGCGAGATCCCGCCAACATTAAGTGGGGTGATGCTGGTGCTGAGTATGTTGTGGACTCCACTGATGTCTTCACAACCATGGAGCAGGCTGGGGCTCACTTGAAGGGTGGTGCCAAATGGTTAATCATCTCTGCTCCTTCTGCCGATGCCCTCATGTTTGTGATTGGTGTGAACCATGAAAAGTATGACAACTCTCTCAAGATTGTCAGCAATGCCTCCTGCACCACCAACTGCTTGGCTCCCCTGACCAAGGTCATTCATGACAACTTCAGCATTGTAGAGGGCCTCATGACCACAGTCCATGCCATCACTGCCACCCAGAAGCCTGTGGATGACCCCTCTGGAAAGCTGTGGCGTGATGGCCATGGGGCTGCCCAGAACTTCATTCCTGTATCAACTGGTGCTGCCAAGGCCATGGGCAAGGTCATCCCTGAACTGATTGGGAAACTTACTGGCATGGCTTTCCGTGTCCCCACCCCCAATGTGTCAGTCGTGGACCTGACCTGCCATCTAGAGAAAGCTGCCAAATATGATGACATCAAGAAAGTAGTAAAGCAGGCATCAGAAGGGCCCCGCAAGGGCATCCTGAGATACACTGAAGGCCAGGTTGTTTCCTGCGACTTTAACAGTGACACCCCCTCTTCCACCTTTGATGCTGGGGCTGACATTGCTCTGAACAACCACTTTGTCAAACTCATTTCCTGGTATGACAATGAATTTGGCAACAGCAACTGGGTGTTTGACCTGATGGTTCACATGGCCTCCAAAGAATAAGAGCCCCTTGGACCACCAGCCCCAGCAATAGCACTAGAAAGAGAGAGACCCTCAGCTGCTGGGGAGTCCTTGCCCCAACTTGATCCTCCCACGCACTGAGAATCTCACATCCTTGACACAAGTTTCCATAAAATCCCCCTGAGAAAGGGGAGGAGCTTGGCGAGCCCATCTTGTCATGTACTATCAATAAAGTACACTGTACTCAGAAAAGAAAAAAAAAGTCAGAAGAGACTCTAAAAATAAACGGCACTGGGGTGTCAAGAAGCCAAAACAAAAGGAAAACATGCAGAAGCTCAGGAGAACAAAACAAAGTATTGTAATGGCATGTGCAGAGAGCTGGACTTGCAGAATAGAGAGGGAAGAGCTCACTCTGCATTTCTCAAGCTGAGAGAACTCAAAAACAAATTTAAGCCTTGTGTCTCAATATTGAAAGATGTTATTGTCAAAGTAGCACTACTTCATGAGCTATTAAATGCTGTGCCTTTGAAAAGCACATCCAGGGTTTTCTTTCCAAGTACCTCTGGATGCATTTGAACCGCCACCTTTTCAATTCCTTGAGGGCTTAACCCAAGGACTCCCCTTAAGATACAGGCTCTTTTTTTTTTTTTCATTATTTAGAGAATACTTTATTAGTTTCTGTAATCAAACCCATGTAGATAAGACCTTACATATTTAATACAGTGCGTTACCCCTGTACAAATGGAAAAAAAAATTTAACATTTCTAGACCAATATGGCTGTTAATTTCTGTACAATGCCAACTCAACACGGT